TATGCGGACCCATTGCCCCCACGTCCCGCCAAGGAAACAAGTATGTTGTAACAGTACTCGACACAACCACACGGTATCTTATCACCGACTTTATGCCCTCACGAGCACAAACCCCGCAACGCCTCGACTATATCCTAACCACTATCAAGGAGAACACAAGGCATTCACCACGAGTCCTCCGCACCGATAACGCACTAGAATATATGTCAGCAACTGCCATACAGACATACCACAACCAGCCCACACGGCATTCCACCACCATCCCCTATACCCCTCAAGAGAACAGCCTTGCTGAAAGTATAAACAGCACGCTTCTCAACGCGGCACGGGCTGCCCTCCACCACAGTGGCCTCGGCCACCACCACTGGGAAGACGCGATCAGAGATGCAACATTTAAATATAATCACACAATGCACCACGGCACCAAAGAGCTCCCCACCACTGAATGGCACAACGCAGCCCCCGCCATCCCCCAATTCCACATATTCGGCCAGCTGGGCACCACACCCGACCCGCGACAACGTGCAAAAATCCCGAAGCTACAATCAAGATCACGTATAGTACGGTACCTGCACCCCCATGACGACACACACCTCACCGTCATAGACGCCGCCACGTCAAAAATCCACCGTATACGAACAGTGGACTTCCACCCTTACCATGCCTCGCGAGATCCAACCGCAACCACTGTAGCTGCGTTCAAGGCCTTTACCCCGCATAAGACGCCAATGGACATCTCTATATCGACACCTGCCCCCCTCAACCGAGGACAGGCCAAGAAATATCCTGACGCACATCTCTGGGCAGAGGCCCATGACAAAGAACTTGACGCACTCGACAAAAAGCAGGTAATCAAATGGACCCCTGACAAGTACCTCCAGCCCAAAACACGCCTTATCCCCCTCACCATGGGATATCGCTATAAGCGCGACAAAAACGGTGACATTGTCAAACGCAAAGCACGATGTGCTGCACGCGGGGACACCATGCTCCCCCACGTCCATTACGACGCAAACCGCACAACGACCTATATAGCCGATAAGTCCTCAGTGCGCCTCTTATTTGCCATGGCCGGAGCACATAAGCTACACATGGGGCATATAGACATCGAAGCTGCCTACCTCCACGAAAAATTCGACCACAGTGGAAAAAAGCCAGTGTATGTACGCCAACACCCCCGTTTTGACGGGACATACAAACATCCCTGCAAAGGAGGCAAGCTCCTCCAAAACATTTACGGCACGCCACAAGCAGGATACACGTACCTCACTGCCGTTTTCGACCTCCTCCACCGCCACGGATTTCGCCATTCAGAAGGCGACACATGTCTGTTCCACAAAATATCCCGCAACGCGGCAACCTTCGTGGCCATAAGCATGGATGACTTCACGGTTGCAGCCACTTCCACCACGCTCCTCGACGACTTCGCAAAAATACTCACAACGGCCTACACCATAAATCGCCTAGGAGAACCCAAGACGCTGCTCGGATGGACTGTCCACAAATCACCTGACGGCGCCCGCCACATCAGCCAGCCCACTGCGATAACGACCATCCTCCGCAAATGCGAGATGCACGTCGCAAACAGCAAGCCAACTCCGTACCAAGACGGAATTCGACTGCACGGCCCCACCCCCGAGGATGAACCCCTGCACAAGCAGGCCAAAGAGTACCAACAAATAGTTGGTGATCTGCCCTACATCGCAGACTCGACCCGTCCTGACATCTATTTCGTTGTAAATCGTCTCTCGGTCGCCTCCAAGGCTCCTACAAAGCGCCATTGGAATGCCCTGAAGCGCGTTCTGCGCTACCTTAGACACACGCCCAACCACGGGTTGTTCTTTCCCGCCGCGCAGCCCAAGCTGCACCACAACACACCCGCCCCAAATCCCATTTCATCAGCATCGCTCCTCACCACGTACTACGATGCCGACCATGCCGCAGACGTAACAGATCGCAAGTCGATCTCAGGCATCATCCACCTGTACAACGGCACACCCATCTGCTGGGGCTCCCTCAAGCAGAAAATAACCGCCCTCTCCACCTGCGAAGCGGAGTATATCGCAGCCACAGCGGCAGCCCAACAAACTGCCTGGCTTCGCAGGATTCTCGGCGACATGCGCATGCTCAGCCCCAGCCCCACCCCTTTTTTCATGGACAAACAGTCCGCCCTCCGGGTCGCACACAACACCGGCCCCACGAAAAGACGCAAGTACATCGACCTGCGTCATCATTACTTGTCGCACCACGCCAAGAAAGGACACATCAAATTGTCCCATGTCCCCAGCGCGGACATGCTTGCCGACATCCTGACCAAGACGCTCAGGACCGACCCCTTCCGCAACCTCACGGCGCAAATCAAAGTCACACCCCCACCCCCGCCTACACATCCAGGCCGCGACCACACAGCGACGGGGGGAGTGTCATGATTCCCATGTCTGGTTTCTGTCGCTGTATGGTCGCTTTGTCATGATTGCTGTCATGATACCCATGTACACCTGTCACACGCACACACGCACGCCAGGTGTCCACCCCAGAGACGGCGCCTTCGCCGCCGTCCCTCTTAGGGCACCGATCTCTAGCCTCAGTAAACATCGGACC